ATTTTTGTTTTACACTTGTGTAAAACAAAAATGAAAAATAAAATCTGTCTAACTCTAAGATCACTTCAAAGCAGGAAGAAGGAGAAAGAAAGTCCACTATTTTAGGATGATAAACTCCACTGGGCATTGGCAGAGAAACTGGCAGATGGATTAAGATTCAACAGCAGACATCCCAAGTTCCAAAAACTAATTTCATGGATGTCATGGTCCGCAGGATTATTAGTCCAGATGCAGAGCATACACACGGAGGCAGAGGTAAAGTCCAAAGATTTATTGCTTAAAAACAGGGTTCTGGAAGGCAGAGAGAATAAACAGGTCAGGTTCAGGTACCGGTACAGGTTTCCGAAACAGACAGGCAGGGTGGCTCGGGCTTGCTAAACAAAACAATCCGGCTTCGAGTGACGCTCTCTTCCAGCTTATGTAGGGAGGGCTAATCAGTTGATGGGGAACAGCTGTCAACACTGAACCCAAGCTCCGCAGGAATAGATCCACGGCGCCGTCCGGATCCTAACAATGGAGATGCTTAAACCCCCTGACCCAACTTAAATTTATTAAAAATATATAAAATTCCTAAATTATAAATGTATATTGACCTCATAAGAAATAGAATTTTAATTGAACCTTATTGAAAAGAAATTTTCCTTCATGCAGCTTTCAGGGCAAGGGATTTTTGCAGACAGGAAAACAGATTGAGCTGGGCACGGAATAAAGGCCTCTGAAAACTCTTGTCCCAAACAGAGCAAGCGATCTTCATCGCAACGTTCATGACATGCTTCATATTTAAATTATTGCCGCACTGTTGTTGATGAATGAATGCATGCAGTGGTAGCTCCAAAAATCCGGGAAAGTTTCAGACAGCTTGAACAGAGCAACGAATCCAGCAGTGCGCCCAACCATAGATGGAGCCCCATCAGTTGTGATAGATGTCATTATTTCATTATCTCTGCAGATTCCTCTTCCCACTTTAGAGTCCCTGGTAACAACCTAGCAACCGTGGCAAACCATGCCCAGCAATCAGCATGCATAAAAAAAGGTTCCCTGCATACTTTTTATTTTTCACCTTATTATTATGAAAATATACATTGGCCTCTCGTGATCAATGATTTGATTAGTGTTTTTTACAACTTTTTTTTGTCATAGCTAGAAATAAGTCTACATTGTAAAACTTCTCACGATCGACTGGTTGGGCACCCCTGCCATAATGGTTAGGTATAGGGTAAAGGTATGTATAATTCTGTAAGTGGAATGATGCAAAATCATTGTTACTTAACATTAATTTAGAGATTAGTTTGGACCCCTGGTTTGGACTTACCTCCATAACTGCTCAAAACATCAGTAAGTAAATACAATTGTTTTCAGTTTATTTATCAAATGCTACTGATGCATCAAATTTTCCTATTGAGGAAATTCTGCTCTATTCTGTAGACCTTATGAAAGCTTATATCAACAAGGAAATAAAAGATTTAGGTGTGTATTTTAGTGAGCACCAAAAAATTCAGAACTGAATAACTTATTCAAAAAAGTATACAATATGTTTTCTTGACATGGTAACAAATATAAGATGAACAGACCAGCAAATAAATGAGAAATAAATATTGGCATATATTTTTTTTAAGTATGTAATTTATTTTTGTTGGAATTCAGGTAGTAAATCCATCCTTCCCTAATCCACGGCGAAGGCTTCGGCTGCGGGACCTGGCTGAAAAGGTGATTGATGCTCAGGAGAATGAGCAAGAACTCAACAAACTGCTTAACGAGGCACTATTGGAGAGAGAGACTGTTCAAGCGTAAGTTTACATGTTTTCCTTTCAAAACAGAAATTAGTTAATAACCCAATCTACATGCAGGAACTTTCTGTGTTTAGAATAAAGTAACTCAATATATATAGGCTGGTCATAAAAGCAATTAAGGGTGGATTTCTAAATCACAAGGTTGGGGCATGGTGGTGATGCAGAGGTAACCCATTTACAGAAGCTTTGGTCAACGCGGTGGTCACAGGTTTCATTCACAATTTGATGACCTTTGCCATATATGTCTTTGCCCTCTTTCTATTTACATTTCTTGTCTGTCCACTGTCAGAAAAAGTAAATAAAGGCTACTAGTGGCTAAAAATAATGCTAAAAAAAAACACACGGACATGTTTTTTTTTAATCAACGTAAATCTTTAAGTTTATTACGTTGAAGACCTATACTCCAACGTACTACCCGTAATTCTCCCATTTGCGTAGTCTTTCAGCATTGATGGTTCTTTTGCATATTGTTACATGATTGCCAAAAAAAAACATTAGAATATTGTTTTGACAATCATTGAGATTGTTTTACACTCTGTCTCTCTCTCAAGATTTTGGTGTTAACCTGTCATTGTCATAATTGAAGGTGACTCTGGACGAGAGCAACTACAGAGGCAGGTGAAGGTTTAATGCTACGTTCACACCGGACGCAGCAAAATCAGCAAAATCGCGTCTGCTGCTTAATTTTTGCTGCTTGTACTAGTTAGTTCTGACGCGTGGCTTAAGCAGCTTTGCTGCTCTGGCTGCGCGGTGCAAAAGTGTGTCTGACGCGCGTTGGGCGGAGCTACTCTATCCTTTCTCTGCCTTGCAGCTATATTTGCTGTGATCAGTGGGAATAAAGTAGTTTTAATATGTTTTTAAGTGAGAAAATACACCTGAAAACTTCATCAGTGCAGTCAGTTCATTCAGATTATTATCCTGCCTTCCAATGTTTTTTCTGTCGGAGCCGCTCAGACCCCCACATACCAGCGGTGCGCCGACAGTAGGAATCCCTTCATCAGCAGCCTCTGGCTGGGTCGCCTCCTCGTGGTTCACCGCGGCAGCTGGTAGGTGTTTTTTATCTAAATAAAAGCCACCATATTCTGCCGGCAGATTTCTGCATTTTAAGTTAATTTAGGCGTCAATAAACTGTTTAAGAGGAGTGATCATAGCGCTCTGATCATCAGCGCTGTGTCTCTCTCCCTGCCAGCTCCCAGATCAGCTTCTCTGATTGGTTGACGCGGCGTGTCGAGCAGCAAAAATTTTATTTTTCCATCTCGAGCAGCAGCGCGTTTGTGGTGCGTCAGATGCTTAAACGCGCTGCGCCTGCTGCTCAAAACGCGCCTTGGGACCTTTTGCTGCGCCTTGACGCGCATCAACCATTGACTTTGCATGTAAACTCGCTGCTTCTGTCGCGCCAGCTGCGTCCGGTGTGAACGTAGCATAAGGGGTTTATTGAAAAAACAAGATAGTGGATGTGAACTGGAAGCTGTATGGTCTGGTGAGGTTCTTCTGGGCTTCTGCAGAGAAGATGAGACTGGTGAATGTGAGGAAACAGTTGCTGGAGGATTATGGTGGGCTGACACTCACTGTAGAGAGGCTGTGGTCCGATCTTGGCTGGAGTGTCCCCGGTGGTCCGAGTGCTGACCAGTACTCTCTCCCTGGTTGGTGGTTCGAGGGTGGACAGGCAGGTGAGCGCGGGTAGGAGGGCTGAGCGGTGGATAACCCGGGTTCCTGGTTGTTTTCAGACAGGGGGGTCCAAGGTATATGGTTTACGGCTGGGTCCAGTGGTCAGAAACAGGGGTTCTGCAACAAAACTTTCAGAGCAGGATTTAGGCAAGGGTTTTAGAATCTCTAGGACAAGGTTTGGGTTTGGTCTGTACCAACGCAGTGGCGTTAACGAACTGAAGCCCTCCTCCTGGTTCCAGCTCCTTAAGAAGGGTGGTGATCAGCTCAGATGTAGTGCACCTGCCCGTCCATCCCTGCTGAGGAGAGAGAGAGAGAGAAAATCTGGCCTGCACCCGGATACAGCCCAGAGTGTGACAGTCATGCACAACATCCTGGTGGTCATCGTGGAGAGAAATGTGATTTTGAGAAACCTTTAATATTTTACAGACTTTGATCTAAGATCTTAAGTCATTTCATACTGAAAGTTTGTGATGTAATTGAGATGTACAAAACTGTGCGTATGTGTCACCACACGGTTAAACTTCATACATCCCAGTTTGCGTATAATTTAACCTAGCTAATGATGGATTTTCACTCGCCAAATCTCCTACCCCTAAATATATGCTCAAATAATAACACAGGGAAGGCAAAGACTTGTTAAAGTGGCTGAAAAGAAAGTCTGTCTACACTTCTATTTTACATTGTTTGTATCAAATCTTAAGTGCTAAGTCAGTCTTGAGCTCATTCATAAAAAATAAAAAAAAACAGTTATTATTATATTATCATATAACAGTTACCAAAGTTTTGGGTCAGAAGACATAAGTCCCTGGATGTTTTTAGGGACTTACCAACTATACAATATTTCAAATTTATTTATCTTATTTCATATGACCTTAAAACCGAGAGAAATCATCTTTAACCATTGACATTAAAATTAGGTTGTATTGTTTTTCAAACCTGCTTGGATCTGCCCTGACTTGGAACCTTGATCAGCATTTATTGAATGTCTTTGCAGTCTGAAGGGAAAACGCACAAACAAGCTCTCCTTGAGGTTTCTAGATCCTGATCTAGAGGTTCGTTTCTCTGTTGAGAAGGAGAAGCAGAGTGGTGCCGCCTTCTGTTGCTCCTGTGTAGTTCTTCTCTTTACTACAGTGATGGAGGCCCTCATAGAGCCCAAGTAGGTTTTATACAATACTATTGCTATTTACACTTTGTTATTGAGATCTGGTTTGTTTGGGTGTACATGTTCTCAAATTCTTTTTTTTTGTGCCTTCTTTTAAACAGGCTGTTTATAAACTACATCACCTTCGCAGTGGGAGAGATTTTGCTGCTTATCCTGACAAGCTGCTCTCTTGCTGCTATCCTTCCTGGAGTGAGTTATAAACCTATTTCTAGAGGTTTAATATTGATATCACTTCTTTCAAAACTTGTATCTAGTTCTGAAAAGCTTTGAAATAGTTGCTCTGACAGCTTGCATCACCAAAAACACAAGGTAAAATCAGTAAATCTTATTCGCATTGAAAATACAAACCTACTGAAAATATTGCTGTAGGCCTGTTCATACTATAAATACTGCAATAGATATTGCTTCTTCTGAAGTAATCAGACCATGGGAGCATAACGGTCAAAAGACTGTAAATGTCATCTGTCTTTGTTTCTACTCTACGGACATTTTTTACAGACCTCTACTGACTTTTCTTTTAATGTTTTTCTATATATCCAGACCCACCTGCTGGCTAATCACAACCCAACCTGAGTTAAAAAATGTATAAATAACTGCATGTTGTCCAACGACCATGTCAAACTTCACTTGCCCCGCTTCTCCTGTTAATACGCTAAAGCCCTCCAGAGTGTCTGGTACCAGGCTTCTCGTGATCTAAATTAGCCAATGAGCTGTCAGTCTGGGTTGCTGCTGCTAACTACTTGTAGACACAACAGGCAAACCTGGGGCAAGCCGGGCGATGGGAAAGAAGGAGAAGACGATGAGAAAAAGAGCAGAGAAAGTGTGGACTGTTGGAAGAACTGCTTTGAACTGGTGAAATAAAAGTGAAATGATCTTAATCTTAAATGACAATCATTAAACAAATTAACAAAATGAGCAAATCACAAAAGTAAGAAGAAGAAATCATGCAACATATTTAAAATGTGGAGTCCATGGCCTTCCCCCCATAGTGGAGCTCCCGATGGTACCATGCAATCGGTCCATGATTATGTCAGCCACATTGTCCCAGTTGACGTCACTCCAACACCCCCAGAAAAGAAAGCACAAAATATATTAAGAATTTGACAAAATTAAATATAAAAATTTTAACCAAATGTGCGCGCTACAATTGGAACTAATGTCTTCAATATTGTAAAAATAAACAAAACAATACATTTATGATGCTGTGTATTAAAACTTATGAAAAAATGGTTGTGTGTTGGGTTACTGACCATGTGACCATCACACTTCTCTTTAGCTGATCATTCTATCAGTGTTCCTATTGTCCCCGCTCTCATTCAGTCTTCTTTCTGTCAGTCTTCTAATCTTTTTCCTTTCCTCTTCTTTCATCTTATTTTAATAAAACAGAGACATAACATAGTCAAAATACCTTCCAAACACATATAATCTTATACATATTATGATTATTATTATTGCTCTTGTTATCTCACATGATTAAATACTAAAAAGGCTAATCACCACAATATTTGGAGTATAAACAACACAATAAATTAACATTATACAGTTGGTTATCCTTCAGCCTTCGGCGCTTTGTTTTTGGCAACAAGCTAAATTACCTTAGCTTTACTAAATTCAAGGGATTCCCACATAGCCTAAAATTATCTATGGAGAATTTCAACCAGGGCAAGGCAGGCATCAAAGCTGGCAAGCTTTTTGTCAATGGCATCCAGAATGTCCGTTCATTTTTTTTTCTGGCTTCGGCTTCAGGTGTTGCGTTGTTGGCCCGTGATTTCCGGGTTTTTCCGATCATGATGTTGTTTAAGCACTCATCCACAAAACTGTCAGGCTCTCCAAAGTGTCCTCATCCAGTTTGAGTAGAAAAATAGAATATTAAGCTTATAGTATAATTGTTAAGTGTTAATACGCTAGGTATATATTAATGGATTTGTTTTACCAGAATTAGACAATTTTGTTTATGTCATTTTTTCTCACACTTAGCTCTCGCGAGATCTGTCAGCTACTCTTCCAGTCCTCTAATCTGAGTTGCTGTTAACCTGTAAATTCTTAGGCTGGTGACTAGGATTAACTTATCTTCCGCAGCAGAGGTCACTCTTGGTTTTCCTTTCCTGGGGTAGTCCTCATGTGTGCCAGTTTCTTTGTAGAACTTGGATCGTTTTTGCAACTGCTTTTGGGGACACTTTCAAAGCTTTGCCAATTTTTCAGACTGACTGACCTTAATTTCTTAAAGTAATGACGGCCACTTGTTTTTCTTTACTTAGCTGTTTTTTTCTTGCCATAATACAAATTCTAACAGTCTATTCCGTAGGACTATTAGCTGTGTATCCATCTGACTTCTGCACAAAAAAATCTGATGGTCTCTCAAGGTGTTTTAAGCAGTAATCAAAGCAAAAGGTGGCTTCTTTGAAGAACCTAGAAACAAAAGTTGTTTCAGTTGTTTTTTTTAAGTATATAATTCTACATGTGTTAATTCATAGTTCTGATGCCTTCAGAGGGAATCTACAATTTTCATGGTCAAGAAAATAAAGAAAAAACTATTTGAAAGAGAAGGTGTGTGCAAACTTTTGGTCTGTACTGTACCTGGCCCTTCTCAAATAAAAAGAGCGTCCATGCTAAATAATGCCAAAACACTCTAATGGCAATAGGGACAAGCAACGATAGACACATTTACTGAGGGAATTGTTCTTAGATGATATTTTTGTTCCTCCTATTTTATTTCATGCCATCTGTGGCCAGATTGTGATGTTCTTTCAAGCTTTAAAAAAATGGAACATGACCAAATGACTGACAGGTGTCTGCGTACAAAGATCCACCTTAATGTCTTTCTGCTTTGCTAATGTCATGGTTCTGCCAGGTTTCATAATTGAAGTAGCTGTTTAACGTTTGTTTGGACTTTTCAGTCCATCAGTGGCTACGGTGGCATAGGATGCAGCTGGAGGGTTGTTGGTTTTTCACTTGCATTGCCTACTGATGGTGGTCAGAGGGACAGGTGACGCCAGTGTGTGGCAGCCTTGCTTCTGCCAGTGAGCAGGAGGGAAGCTGTGTCTATGATTAGGCCTGTCACGATAACCAATTTTGCAGAAAGATTAATTGTCTCAAAAATTATTGCGATAAACGATAATATTGTTTGAAGACCATTTAACACTGATTTAATGGAAAAAACGTAATAATGCATGCGATTTCCTGCCAAAGATAAACACACTTTATTTTCAACAGAACACTTAACATTGGAACTGGTTAACAAAATAAAATGAGAAATAAAAATCAAATGGGCTCTCAGTCTCTGTTAACTAAAAATACAATTTAATAAAAACTAAACACAAGATAAAAGTGGAAATAAATACGTATGTAAAACATATCAAGTGGGGATTTGTATGTTTTCTGGGGAATTCATACTGTCTATCAAATGTCTGCAACATTTTTCGAAATGCCGGCTTTTCAACAATATTAAATGGAAGCATCTCTTTAGCAATTAAATGAACTACGCTTTCTGTGAGCACCCGCCACTTTGTCCCGTCCTTTTTGTATGCTGCCTGTAGATGAATTGCTTCAGTGATGGTGGACTGTCGCAAACTGGAAGACGCAGGCGGGCCATCGCTTGTACTTTTTGTCCCCAGCTGGAGAAACTTTTCTGAGTGTTTGTGCTTTAGGTGCATGTGTAGGTTGGTTTTATTGCTGCTCTTAGTTGCTACTGTTTTATGACAAATGTGATGTACTGGCTCCCATAGGTTCAGCGGTTCACCTCGGTTACTTGGTTTGAATCCGCAATACTCCCACACTGCGGCTGTCGCGCTCGGTTTTCAAACCAGTTCCATTTCGAGCTTTTCCCCCCAACATAAGATGTGTTTTTTTACTTCATTAACTCCTATAACTCCTCATGGGGCTCTAAAGCTGCAGAAGTAGAAAATGATGCGCGCTGACTACCTGATGCGATAGTCCACTCTTCCTCCCTCCTCAAAAATGAGGAAGGGGAGGGGTCAGTGGATAGCACCGGAGTTAAGCCTTTCAACCAGCATCATCAATAGAAGGAGAAAAACACAGGCAGAGACGATATAGCCGATATATTAAATGACGTGGATAGTTTTTATTTATCTTGCGATTAATTGATTTTTTGATTATCGTGACAGGCATATCTATGATGTAGCTTGTCACACATCAGTGTGTGTGTGAATGACTGTATGTAGTGTAATGTGCTTTGGTCAAGTCTCCTGACTTAAAAATATACTAAATACAGGCAATTAAGAGTTACATTGCTATAAAAACTGGAATAAAATAGAAAATCCCTTTTTCATGTGGATTTTCTATTCTATTCTAGTTTTCATAGCAATCTAGATTGGTAGATTATAGATTGCAATGGTAGATAGCTCTGAAAACTGCTATTTTAAATGTTTGGTTTCTTTTTTTCAAAGGTGTTTCCCAAAAGGTTGGTGTCTTTCTCAACCTGGATTGATCACACACGTTGGGCTCGAAATACCTGGGCTATGGCAGCTATTTTCATCTTGACCGTTGCCAACCTTCTAGATATGGTATGCTGCGTTTATCTATTTCTACCAACATATAAGGTTATAGCAATTTGTTATCTTTTTAAAAAGACAATTTCTTTGCATCTAGAACATTAGTTTTTTAGAATATTTTAACTAATTCTCATCTGAAAAAACCCTACCCCCTTAACTTCCTCTTAAAGGCCAAGAATGATGGCTATATAAATAGATACTTTAAAGTAACAAGTGTTTTCCCTTTATGTTGTTTATTTTATAGCTCAGTTGTATACCTCAAGTCACAGATTCAGGCAGCACAACAGCGGCTCCATTTTCTTCCTCATCTTCACAGTCTAGCCTTGGAGGGTGCCTGAACAATCCTAAATATTACAGCTTTGTTGCCGTGCTTGCACTTATAGCCACAACCATGCTCGTTCAGGTCAGTCACATGGTCAAACTTACACTGATGATTCTCATAACTGCAACGACTGGCATCGTTAACATCTACAGTTGGAAAGACATCTTTGACCGCTATGACACAGTCCGCTTCCAAGAATACAGGTAAAATTCCAAAATGGCAACTTTTTCTAAGAGTAAAGAATTGTACTTACACAGCAAGAACAGAGTAGTATGTCATTTTCCTTAAGTAGGTACAGCAGTAGCCATTCAAAATTTCGCCACTTTACTTGATGGGCCCGTGGCTGTTCCTTGGTTGGTCGTTCAATTCAATTCCATTTTAAACATCAATATTTGTACTAAAATATGCTTTCTGTAATGATTTGTGGACATTAAGATCTATAGAGAACATCTCGATTACATGGTCAGACCATGTAATTCAGGAGGGTTGAGTCAGAGGGGTCACTCCAGTGGCTGGAAGTTCGAGGGGATTTCACTGGGAGTTGGAGGGAAGTGGGCTGCCATTCGGCTGGCGTTTGACTGTGAAGGGCCATTTTGAATGGCTGCTACTGTAGGAAGAATAAAGTTATGTCTGTCAATCCAGATTTCAGATAAGAGCTGCAACAACTTCCAAACAGTGGTGTTTTTTTATGCAAAGATAACAAACTTCTCTGTCCTTAAGGAGTATGTTTTTGACTTAAGATAGATATTTGGAACTTATTTATTTTGAAATACAATGCAGACCATATGTTGTAAACATACACTACAGTATATTGTCAAAAGTATTTGCTCACCCATCAAATGATGGAATCAGTTGTTACAATCACTTCCCTGGCCACAGGTGTGTAAGATAAAGCACGTAGTCATGCAGACTGTTTTCACAAATATTTGTCAAAGAATGGGTCGTACTCAGGAGCTAAGTAAATTCCAGTGTGGAACTGTGAATAGATACAACCATTGCAACTAATTCAGTTGTGAGATTTCCTAATTCTTAAATATTCCTGAACTGTGTGAAGGATTGCCTTCAAGTCAACGTGTCAATGCAATCAACAGGTTTTCCTTAGATTGAAAACTTTGAATCAATTTGACTGTATGAACTGGTTGAACTGTGAAGTGCCTTCAGAAGACATGTGTTGTGAATTGACTTATATAAATAAGCTGAATTTAAATGAACTGTCAGCTGTATCATAGGAAAATGGAAGGGATTGTGAGAGAGTGCAGCTCAGCCATGAAGTGGTACACTACCTGAACTGACAGAGCAGGGTTGCTCTTTTATTTGATTATGGCATGAATCTGTGCTGAAGTGCATAGTGCAATTCTTGCTAGTCAATTACCAAAACAGTTTGGAGGCACACCCGTCCTCTTCCAACTTCATTGTTCACCATTGCACAAGGCAAGGTCCAAAGATAGAAGAGTCTGCTGTGGATGAACTTGACTATCCTGCACAGACTTCTGATCTCAACCTAATAGAACGCTGTGCACAAACTAACCTAAGCAAAAAAAGAGAAAAAATTAATATATTCTAATCTAATAAGAATGTTTAAAACAATACACAGATGGTTCCAACCTGCTTACCTATTGTGCATAACAGAAAGAACACCAATGTTATGGAAATTTTCAGGGTACCCCAACCCAGCCCACAAACTGCTACAACAAAACTTCAAACACTGAGAAGGTTTCAAGGCAATTCAAGTGTGTCCTTCGCAAGGGTAGAATGTCTATTTGATGATGAATGAAGTTTCTTCAGAAGTAAATCACAGGAAGGTCTATGCCATCTTTATTTTCCTGTAAAAGGATAGCTGCTACCCCAAATGCTCAAGCATCTATCTCCAGGTCAAACAGCAGGCTGATATTTGGGGCGGAAAGAACAGGAGAGCAAGAAAGCAAACCTTTAAGATTCTGAAACTTATGTTGGCATACCAGAGACCAAGTAAAAGGTTCAGAAGGACTGGTCAAAGCAGTGAAATGAGTCGCTACCATCAAACAATTCTTATGATAGGCAAGGAAGAAAATATTTGTAAGGTTTACCCCGAGAACTGGGAGCTTTAGGAGACCATATTTCTTTGATTGGGCTCTTATTACCACACAATCAGAAATAGGTCAGGGGACACTGATGGTTCAACCTCTAACCTTTTGTTTGGAGTGTCTAAAATCTATTTTATGGGCAAATCCCTCTCATGGGCAAAGTTGAAAGTACACCAAAGCAGAAAAACCATCCACATGATCTGACTTAATTTGAATTGAATGCAATTTTGTGCACACAATTCCAATACATTGTACTCCTGTGCATCTCAGTATTGTGATTGGTTTGTTATCCTTTGGATTATCTGTTATGGAAACAGAGTCCCCTGAAAAAGGGTTTGAAACAGGGATCTAGCCCATCTTTCTTTTTAGACATCAGATTACTGGGGTGAGATATACTTTTAGCAAACCTATACCCTTTGTTGGTGTTGACAAAGCTTTATTCTTAAATGAAAAACAGTTAGCAATGACTTTACCTGTTTTTAATGATGGTAAAATTACCTCACGTGAAGAAGGTATGGGCAGCTTAGCTTTGGCTTCTTGGGTGACCTGCTTTTGGTTATTGTGGGCATAGGGCAGTTAAACCCCTATGTGAACCAGGTGCAGCTACAAATGCTGAATTTTGGTATGTTAACATGAATTAATCAGCCAAGATTGCTGTTTTTGACAATGAAGTCACAATTTGCTCATTCAAGAAAACCACCAATTTCTCAGGCAGAGCATTCTTAAAATATTCCAGCAAGATTAACTTAGAGGCACATCACTTATTTAATAAAATTGCTGTCTCCCATGCAAACTCCACATTATTTTACACCTAGACCTCTTATCACTCCTAAATTGTTCCCTATAGTCCTCTGGCACAACTTCATAAGTTGTTCAGTCTTTTAGATGCATCCCTGCTTCAACACAGCTGAATCAAATGATTGATTACCTTTTCAAGCCATTCATTTGATTCAGCTGTGTTGAAGCAGGGATGCATCTAAAATCTGTAGGACAGTAGATCTTGAGGACCAGGGTTGGAGACCACTGGTCTAGATGAACCAAACTGGACTCCTTTTTTTCAGAGCTTTTTTGGGCTTGTCCAAACAACTATGATCTCCCCAAGGCGACTCAAAGTTTTTTTAAGGAACAATAAGCATCTGTGATGTTAAGTTTTACCTGTGCTTTTATTGTGAAACGACAACAGATAGCGAGACCTCGACAGGAAATGACATGGGTTGCCAGGGGTAAATGCATTTCAAAAGCAGAGGGTCTGGAAGTTAAGAAGGGATTTACTAAATATTTAACAATCATTCCAGCCACTAAATAAGGTAAACATCCCCACTGTAATATTCAATACCAGCACGGGAATGACATGTGATGTTATACCATAACTTTATTTCACGAAACAAGTGCAGCACTAACATCTGCTGGGATCGGCAGTAATTCAAACTGATTCTATCGTAAAAACAAAATTGAATTCGGAGTATAATGGGGGAATATTTGACTTCTGAGTGACCTAAAAATGTATCTTTTATATCTCTGAAACAACAGCAGCACATGTGATCTTTTTTATTCTTTTTTTTTTTTTCATTTTTCCAAATTAAATGACCATTCAAAATGCACAAAACAGCACTTAAGAAGCAAAAACTTTTCAGTCTATTTCCTGAGATTTTTTTTTGTTTTCACATCGGTGGGGTTTCAGCTTTACCCAGTTGAAGCTGCTCCTATTTGATGGTATTGTCTAGGGTGTAAACACTGTGCATCTGACATGCACAGCGGTGAACTACCTGTGGGGCTCGCAGAAATCACCGCCTTCATCTTATCTTTTGTAAACACAGCATAAGAATCAATGCCACTTTCTTACAACTAGGGGCCTGAATTAATTCAAAGTCACTCAACCTCATTTAAAAAAGTCACAAGCACCTTAGTATTATTGTGGCTGTCTACAGCTCAGCAATTATATACCCTGGACGAGCCCCCCATTATTTTACCACCCCACAGTGGAAGGAGGGCAGAAACACAGCACAGCAGTAATAAAGGGACAGACTCCTTGTGAAGGAAAAGGATTTATCTTCCTCCTCAAGAAGTATATCCCAAAAATAAAATAAAAAATCTGTGAGGAAGAAAGGGGCAATTACATTAGCCCAAAAAAATAAATAAAACAAAACCAGTCTTATCTGTCATCTAAACCAAAGAAAGAAGAAACAAATCTGGCTATTCTCATCTAATAAGATGGCACCAACCTCTTTCGCAAGTGTTGTCACAGGCCGGCTCAGTGCCCATGACCAAAAGGAGGGGACACCAAACGATTTAGGCCAGACATGGGCAATGTGGAGTCAACAAGTCATCTCCATGTCATGTATTTGTTCTACCCAGCCACTGAAGCAGGTGACTCACCTGGTTAATTGGCTGGGTAGATTAAATACATGACATGGAGATGACTTGTTGACTCCACATTGCCCATGTCTGATTTAGGCCAATCAATACTTTATTGTAACCAATAAATAACTTTAAATAAAACAAAGATGAGATATGAGTATGTAAGAATGTTTAGTATTTGCAGTGTATGAGTGGGTGAACATGAATGTGTCTGAGTGTTACCAAAACCAAAATGAACCAACCAACAAAGGAAGTACCTGGAGGAGCAGAGAGAGAGAGAGTGAGTGGAACCCAATTTATATAGGGAGCCCAAGTGCTTCCAATTAGTAAGACTTGCCTCTGCCTACAGGAGGAACCGCCCCTGCAGGTCAGAGGAAAGGGCCGTGACACCCCCCTCCTTAAAATGAGGATTCCACCCTCAACCCAACATTTGGCCTACATTAGAGCGAATTCAAAATGTTCCCCAAAATACAAATAGCTACCAGTCCCGGCTCTAGTAGTTGCTCTGCATCCCCTGACCAACTGTCCATTCCTCCATCTCAGCAGCCCTGGTACCTGGGGAGCAGTTTAAGAGAAGGAGGAAGAGAGAACCAGCAGGGGAGAGCAGAGAAACAAATAGTTAGTTCAATGGAGCACGGGACAAAGCATCAGCTATAATGTTACTTTTACCACTGATGTGTCTAATGTCAAGGTTATAAGGCTGTAGGAACAAGGCCCAACGCATCAGCCGCTGGTTGGGATTCTGCAAAGACTTCAAAAATGTAAGTGGATTATGGTCAGTG